GTATACCGTCTTTTATTTTATGGAAAAATATCAAAAACAATGTAAATTATTGATAGCCTTTATTATCTATTGTTTGAACCTGGATAATGAGTACATAAATCAGTCACTGGGAAAGATTTTTCAGGTCAACAGCGATCTTAAATTGCACATTTTTTAGAAACTCAGCATCATAAATCCACTTTAAGAGTTTTGATTGTGGGGCCAGGGACATTGTGTTAAAGGTTTGCCTGGTATACATGAGGCTCTGGGTTCAAATCCCAGCTCTGGGGGGGAAAAAAGAGTTATGGCTGTGCCAGGAGTGGTGGCAGACACCTATGATCTCAGCAATTTGGGAGACTGAGGCAGGAGGGTAGCAAGTTCAAGGACAGCCTCCGAAACTTAGCAAGACCCTAGGACTTAATGAGACCCTGACTCAAAATAAAAATAAAAAGGGCTGGGGATGTAGATCATAGAAAAGCACTCCTGGATTAAATCCCTGGTATTCCCCCCTCAAAAAAAAAAATTATGATTGTGCTTACTTTGGCAGCACATATGCTACAGTTGGAATAATAGAGAATATTAGCACAGTTGCTGTATAAGAATGACATGAAAATTCATGAAATAATCCATATTTTATTATAGTTAGAAGAAATAAGTTCTGGTGTTCTCCAGCACAGCAGGGTGAATATAATTAAAATGCATTAAATACCTCAAAATAGCTAGAAAAGACAATTCTAAATGTACTCACCCTAAAGACATAATAAAATCTTAAGGTGATAGATATATTAATTACCCCAGGTGGATCAATCATTCCTCAATTATTACATGAATCAAAACATCAAATTGTAGTTCATAAATTTGTACAAATATGTGTCAATCAAAAAAAAAATGAAAAGAGTGTGGGATTTCTAGGGCTTTATTCCCTTGGAAAAATATTCTGTCCTCTCTTTTCATATTTTTTTAAATTTATGAAAATTATTTTAGAAATATCTAATTGCATGCAAACCATTGCTAAAAGGAGCTAAAAAACAAACATGGTTTTATATATAAATGATAAGGTTCTAAAATCCCTAATTAGAAATAGTCTAAATAGAGAGTTGGCTTTGCAATCTAAATATTATCGGAAAGAATGGCTATAAATCCACTATTCTGAGAGCAAAGTTACTATTTTTATTTCTGCTCTATAAATAGCAGTTATCATTTTGGTTATCCTCGA